AATTTAAATTCCTGCATAACAAGTTTTCTGCCTAAGAAGTTTTTTTTAGTGGTCCCTTGAAAAACATCTTGACAGGGTTCTACTGTATTTCAAAAAACTTGTGTATAACTCAAAGTGAAATTATTATTTTTATATTAAAAAGTTTTTGTATCTAAATAGTAATTACAGTAGCCCCTCTTTATATTAAACGTTAGGATACAAAGCAATCAGACGATGCAATACAACAAATGGATCTATCCATGTGTTTAGCTATTTTTGATCTCCATGCTGACTTTTTTTGTGAATTGTGTTTCATATGATGGTAGTTTTTTCTAAGTTAGTGATTAGATGCCAATAGAAATTCAATGGCAACCAATATAAATAATTGTTCTAAAGCACTTTTACATTTGGAAGGCAAAAAAAGACATCTGAATGAGGAAATTGATAAAATGCACACATAATATATTTTCATATATTCTTGCTTTTTGAATAAAATAAGAAAAATACTTCTGTAGTTAGATTCTCAACTAAATTGATAAAAAACAATAGAAAAATCTATTTCAAACACACAGGTTTTTGTGAAGAGTGGATTTTTAAATACCATATTCTTCTGACATTTATTTCAATATTAAGTTTTTAGACTACTTCATTCCTTAACAGTTTCTTTGGAATAATTTATATATTTCTTGCATTTGAATATATTTAGCATTTTTGTCTTTTGTTTCCAGAAATCTTATAAAATACAAAAATAAGATTTTCAATTTAGTTTTATTCACTTAATATGTCTAGATACAACTGACATAAAGAAAAAATATTCTAGTTTTCACTTGACCCAAACTTCAAAAATTGTAAATATTTAAAGGTAACAAAAATTTCATTTTTCTCTCAAGGATAATATTTTTTTTTAAATGTAAAACTAATTAAAAATTATCATTCCATATTTTCCAATTAATCTCTATAATTTTTTTACTATTAAATAATATCAAGTTATTTCTTCAGATGAAATCATCTTAAATCATTGTATATTTGTCTCAAATTATGAGCTGTAACAGAAAAAGTACAAGTAACCATCAGTTTATGGCAAGGTTTCATTGAGGAAGGAAGTTTTGTAGAAAAAAGTTTATATAATTAAATTCATTTTACACTATATAAGTCAATGAATTACATTCTAGACCCCTCTCAAAATGAACACAAGTAAAGCATTATTGTTATATTTAAAGCTTGAATGTTTGAATGTAAAGACTTCATTTTCATGAACGTAAATCAATTAAACATAATACAATATAAAATATGATGCAGTTTCAATTAATAAATTTAATGAAAAAGTTGTGCACTTATTTTGATGTATTGTATTTAGGTCCACCAAAAGTTTTTGCAATGACATGGCTCTTGCATTAGTCTTTTACAACAGCAGCATAATGCAAGGATTTTTCGTGCAATAAAATCTACAATTAAGGATCTTTGTCTTTCTTGTAAAAAGTATGCAGTATTAATTATTTTTTTTTTGAGAATCTCTGAACAAGTTTCAATGAATATCATTAATTTGCTTGTAATTGTGGCCATCTCATAAAAGCTCTTTTGTACGTGTCTATGAAAAGAATGTGCTTATTTTCATACATTTCAAAGAGGCATTTATCATCATCATCATTCTGTTGACTAACATCATATCTTGTAATGTTTTAGTTCAGTGGTCTCCAGCCTTTTTCTGAGAGGATCATGTGAAATGTAAAAGACAAGTCTGGGGATATTTACAATGGATATAGTCCAGGGGTGGCCAACCTGTGGCTCGCGAGCCACATGCGGCTCTTTGAAGGATTATTTGTGGCTCTTGATAAATGAACCCGAGTTCCCTTTTCATTTTTGTGTTGTTATATTTTTAAAAATTATTATCCTTCCATATGTGTTTCAAAATGTCTTTTAATTACTAACAACAAATATGAAAGACTAAGTGCAACGTTGTAACAAATTTCATTTCTGTCCAAGTTAAAAATGATATGACTCATCGAAAACTGCACGAACGAACGTAATCGTCCATTATCGACCGACTCCAGACCGATTTTGAATTTGTAAACTGTCATTGCAATGGAATGTTGACATTGTGCTCCAGAGGAAACAATTTGTATCACTCTTGCTACGGATATAATTTGTAATTTTTTGCATACCTTTTTAATATGTATTTAATTGCGGCTCGCGAAAAATTTCAAATGTTGAAAAATGGCTCGGACTATCAAGGAGCTTGGCCACCCTGGATATAGTCAAAGATTATTATTAATTAATAAGAAAAATCTTAATGACACAAAGTGAAATTTGTAAGTACTTTTTTTAAAGAATGTCATAAATATCAGAGATAAATTTTGTGGCATCTGATATTAAAATCTAGTTTAGATATTCATTGGACAGTGATGCTTGGATATATATTTCATTTTCAGAAAGGTCTGTTTGCAAAAGTATGTAGAAGCAAAAATAGAAACTATCTCTCATGCAAACTTCTTAAGACTTGAAATTATCTTCTGGCAGAGATTTGTAAAAATTTAACAAACACTTTTTAAAATAGGTTTATATAAAAATCATTTGCAGCAAGGTCTGTTAATTCTGGTAATTTTTCAATCTGCTGAAGTGGTTAAGGCATCAGTCTATTGCTCTGAGGACCTGGGAATGAATCCAGGTGCATCAAATTTTCAGGGTATTTATTCCAAATATGTTGAGCCCCATCTCTTAGCACCTGGTCAGCTTGTAGTGGATCGGGCCAAACCCATTTGGGCTTGGGAGAAGGCTCTTCTAGTGTCCACAGGATAGAATAAAAATGAAAAAACTTAACTTTTCAAATCAAAAGTTTGCACTTTGAGCTTGTTCAAATGTTAACGATAAAACATGTCAATGAAAAGTTACATGGGCTAGATAAAGATGCTTCAGGGGTTGTGTTTGGCATGTGGGTCATTTGTTGGTGACACTTGTTTCAGTTTTTTGATATTTTTGGTCTTTTAGTTTCAAAACTAATTATTGTGAATTGTCATAACACTATCATAAAATGAGGAATCTGTAGTGTTTTAAAACTAAGAATTATTTGTGATTTATTGCAAGATTTTCAGTGGCAAATTATATTGAATATTAGCTAAGGTTGTGGTTGGGAAAATGATATAAAGGTAATATATAAAAATGTATATATGGAAAAAGAATATGTACTTATAAAGAACTTTTAAGAGAGCCAACCAAAAACAATTTTATATCAAAATTTACTCTGAATGTCCTATAGCCTGAAGATTCAACTGTTTTCATGTGATATTCAGCCATCAGATGTGAATTTTACAACTTCTGTATATATATATATATTGGAACACTTTCAATGTTTCACTTTATTCAGACTTTTAAAGGCTATCATAAAAATGCAAGATTCATATGATAATGTCATTAAGTATTTCTCAAGATGGGTAGAAATTATACTCTTTTAATGTTAGCATTGCATAAATAATATACTGTTGAACTTCCATGTTACAAAATCTTATAAAACAAATCCTTTTTTTTTAAATTTACTTTTTCTGTAGAATATCAAAGATATCCTTTTTTATATTCACTACTGATGCATTTTCCACTTTGCAGATTATTTGTTATACAGAAAATTTGTTTTTTCCAGAGACAATTTGTTATATACAACTTAAAAAAATCTGATAGGTAACAGTGGGATACTTGATCCCACTGTTGATAGGATCAAGTATCAACAGTGGAGTTTATATATCCTCAATAGGATATATAAACTCCACTGTTGATACTTGAGAATGACCCATTAACTAGGTTGAAAACATTACTGTTCTACTAAAAATTCCATTGATAAAAGTGCTGTAATCAGTCAAATTAAGTAATCACACTGGCTAGTAGATCATTTTTTTAAACTAATAATTGCCATTTTTCCATCATAGACAATTTGATGTACAATTTTCAATAAAATTTGACCATTTCTACCTACATAATCTCTGTAATTATTAATTATTGTACTTAATTGTTTTGTAATGTTGTCACTTAATATTTTAATATTGCATGAATTTTAAACTCATTTACACATTATAAATTCATGCAGTAACAAAATATTTTAGTTATTACTGTGTTCTTTTCTTAAGCAAATTTTGTATAAAATAAAAAAATATTGAAATTAAAGATATTTGCAAACAACATATTAAACAATGGCAAACATGGTTAACAAAATGTCTTCATGTATGTAGAGGCTGTTGCTATAGTAAAATGATGTGTGAATACTGGAGAAAGGTTTCATGATAAATACATAAAAAAGTGTGACTTAATTCTTGTAATACTTTAACTCCTACATGATGTTAACTATACTTTATGATACAGCTTTTAAAGATTGTAAATGTTCTATGCTATTATCCTTGAAGAATTATACATATCAAAAACAATTTGACCTCATTTAAATACCTATGCTTCACAGCTTTAGATTTATTGTATTTTAACAGATGTTTTTATATAGTATACATATGTACTGTCATTGCCTGCCCGAGCAAACTCAGCACCCTAGGCAAATGACTTTGACGTCGCCCCAAGAGTATAATTTTTATTCAATATGCAGCACACAATATCGCAATCGTGAGACTATGGTGCTACTTTCAAAATGGCGACTTACGGGTCAACACGAGAAAGGATTGTGATCAAAAAACATTTATTTTTTCATTATTTATTGTAATTTATGCATGTACTTTCGCCACGCCGCCCCCGAATTCAAGTGCGCTAGGCCATTGCCTAATTCACCTATATGAACGTACTGTGTACTGTACATGATAACATAAGGTTACTATATCGTGAAACCCTAAAATGAAGATAATCCAATCAATTCAGTGTCCAGAATTGAGCAAGTGCTAAAAAATATTTTACCAACTACAGGTGTTACAATAATAGTGTGAGAAACTTTTGACTTCTTTTGAAGCCATATGACAATATAATTTATTAAGTTATTTCATTTAAAAATATGTTTTGGACCATTAATAAAATTAATATAAAAAAATAATATAACTTACAGACACTTTAATTACTATTAAGCCATGTATTGTAGACTGTGTAGAAGAAATCACCCAGCACTTAGGCTCGAAAGGCCCATTGTGCTTGGGTTGACTGGTAGCTGAGAGTTGAGGACTGACCTATCCAGTACTCACACCACCCAAATATATATAGGGCAGTTGTGGTCTCTCCAAATGGGTCAATGGCTGCCACACATGGAATTCTGAGGAGGTAGCTGCCTCAACCTTAGTCAAAATCCCAGAGATCACCAGCAATCATGGAAAATTCAAGCAGTTGTAGCCTGGACTCAATCCCATATTTCCAGAGTAGCAAGCAAAATGACACCACCACAGCCATCTGACTGACAAACCAAGTATAGGCTATTTCTCAATTAGATTTAATTGTTTTACCTATTCATTATTGTGTATCAAGCAAACAATTACTTTAATGGAAATAGCTGGATAAACTACAGATTATCATAACTTTTGTCATAATTAACACTACATCATCCATGAGTATCCAAAAACCAAAGCTGGCTGCTAATGAAGATCAGAACTGAAACTGGGAACTATGCTAAATATGTGATATAGTTGGTCAAGTAGCCAACTTTTGAATTCTAAATTTAATACTATGTTGTTATCAATAGAGAAAAATCTCGTCATTTTTACACTGGGAGTGAAGAAAAAGGGGAATTCACAATGTACATACATCCTCATTTTGAAGGTAAAAATTACTCTGTCTGTGTAAATGAGATGCATGCCACCCTAGCTAGGGTAGCATATCAGCAATATCTTATATGAATAGTGGTTTACAATGAAAGTACTGTACTGCATTTTCATGTGCATAATCCACAGATTATCTGTATTTAAAAAACAATTTGAAAGAGGGTGTAATGTAGGTTATACATCAGTTTTAAATTGCAATCATATACTCATACCAGCAGAGAAATGATTGCTTCCATAAGTGCCATAAGTGTGGGGTATTCTAAAGGTTGGTTATGACAAAGATTTATTTTTTCTAGCAAAACAATTTTCTATGGGGTATATGCCATTGTGGGTTATATGAATGAAAATACAGTACTATTTTCCAGTTGCAATAATTTGTAGATTACAAGAATCTTGAAAGAAAATGTTCTTAATTTAATACAGAAACTTATAGTCAATAACTATGCATTTTATTACTGAATGCTATTTTAATCTAGTAGTGTTTCTTTGGAATTATTTTTCCTGCATATTTTTCTTTAAATTTGAATTTCTTTAACTTCTTTAATTTTGAATGTACTCTAACAACTTTATAATTAACCTTATCAACAGAAAACATTTTAAAGAAAAAAAAATGTAAATTTAGATATATCTAAAATAATTGTGGTAATGAAAATGATAATGAAATAAAATTATTTTATCACAAAAAAATAAAAAAGGTTAATACCACTTATATCACTTTGTTATAACAAAATATAAAGAATAAGTTAAATAATGTGTGTGTGTGTGTGTGTTTATATATGTATAAAAGACAGTGTGACAAAATTATACAGCTATTTGATATTTTTTATCAATCTCTATTAATCTTAACTTTTTTAAACAATATAACAAAATCAAATTTTATTTTTATATTGTTCATAAACATTTTTAAATCAGTAAAACATAACAATTTTTAGTTTTTATTCCTTCAATTATGAATTTAACTGGATCTACAAAAATTTAAAAAGAATTTTTAATGAATTAATTAAATAAGTTTAAAAGTTTCTTTATAAATTTTTTTTTTTACTTTTGTTCAAGTTGGATTGTTAATTACAAATAAATGAATTTGCTTAATATGATTTATCTAATAAAATATATACTTACCAGAATAAAATGAAATGAAATAGTTTAATAATCCACAGAATCCATAATCCACAGGAATAGCAGTTTTAAAAAATTCTGTAACATATTTGAAAACAAATTGCAAAATCATTTTTGATTTAGCAATATTTTATAATTTTCTGAAGTTTCAAAAAACCGAGTAAAGTAAATCTTGTGCAACAATGTGTGTTTTCTTTGGATTTTTTTTTCTTGCAAATTTCTAAGGTGTCATAATTATCTTTTAATAAAAAAAGTGTTTATTCTTCAGAGTTATTTATTGCATACTTTAAAAATACAGCTAAATCAGATCTCAAAACTGCTATGACAAAATTCAACTGATTTCTAATAATTTGTAGTCTTTTACACAAAATTTAGAGACTATCATGAAAAGTTTATTCAAACTTGGCAACTTTATATATATATTTATTTATTTTATTTATTTATTTATATGACAATTTTTAACTTTAAATGCAAAATAAACACTTCTAGTATTTAAAAAAAAATGTTTTAACAAAAATGTCGGAAATAAGAAATACTGTATATATATTGTAATCCAACAACACCAATACTATTTTATAGTGACAATGACGATGATACTGTCTTTTAATACAAGTCTTTCCGTTGGCAAAAATTATGATTTGATTCTTTTGAGGTAGATATTGTTTTTATATTCTAAACAATTTATGATTAACAATATTTAAAAAATGACACAAGAAAATTCTTTGTTTAGGAAAGTAATTTTTCAATTCTTATTCATAAAAACACTCTCAAAATGGCATTCGATTAAATAGTTAACATTAAAAATTTTTCGGGAGAATGACAAATGCAGTCGTCCTCATCGTTCCTATTTAAAAAGGTTCAAAGAGATAGAGGGAGCAACTTTGTCGGTCTTACACTCGCTTGAATGTTCCACTTTACATTCCTTATCCTTTTCCACAATGTTTGTTTCGCTAAACCTGCTTTAAATCTCCACGCAATATAAATTTGTACTATTAATCAGATAAATAATTTCATTTGTTTGCAAATAATAATGTCAAAGCCTTATATAAATTACTTTCTAAATTGAGTATTTAATGTATAGTTAGTGAATACTGGTATAATCATAATATGTATCTTTTGTAACATTTTTTAAAAATTCAAAAAATAATAATTTACTAATGTATATGGCATAAAATATTAAACATATCAATAATTATTTATCTATTATTTTTGTCTTTTAGGAATCTTTAAAAAGTGAATTTTACAAAAATTTATTAGTAATCTGTAGATTTGAGCCCCTTGATATTTATTATACTCTTATAATTAATAAATGAAAATTTTTGCATTGATGTTAGTTTTGTATTGTTTAAACTGTTAATTTTGTTTTGTATTAGATAGTTATTAATCCATTAAGCTTTGCACATGTTATATGGTATGTATTTTTATAGGACAAATGAAAACTTTAGTTTTGTAAATACAAATTTTCTAAAATCCTAAAATTATTAATATTTTAGTTAATTGAATCTAATCTGATTTTAAACTTTTTTGATAATTAGTGTACAAGCTCTTTTCAAATTCGTTGTATGGATATCAAAAGTATTTTTATAAAAATTTTTATATCTGAAAACGTTTTAGGATCAACATTAAGAGTAAGAGGCTTTAAATTTTCAGGTATCACTTACATTGTTTATTTCATTTGTGTTGTATAATACATTTCATTAAGCAAAATTTTTTAAACATAGAAACTTCAAAGATATTAGAAATTCCTACTCAAAGTTTCACGCCACAGATATTTAATAATCATCTCAGTTTTCCGGTTTTAATTTTTAATTACATTTTCTATCTAGTATTTTGTGTGGCCAAATTCAAGAACAATATTTTTTGTCATATAAAATACCACTAATATCATAGTAAATTTATTTATATTTCCTAACAAACAAAACCTATTCTTGGAAATATAGTTGAGGTATAATTATCAAGGGCTCACCATGAATAATTGTTGAATATTTATTGTTTGTTTGTTTTCTTTTTAATAATTTTGAGAGTTATATAAAAGCCAGTGAAATGCAATTAATAACTCAAAACACCTTTAAATAAGCACCAATATTTTGAGTTTTAAAAACTTCAACTCTTTATAATTATTACACAATGCCTTTTTTTCTTTAAACTTCAAACTTAATTACAAATATATTGAATACTGCACACCACAATTAAACTTTGATATCTCCCATGATAATTTTGCACTCACAAAGATTTATTTAGAAATTTATATACTGCTTTTTTTTTTTTGAATTATATTTTAATATGTATATCGATGAATAAATAAAAATACATTATAGTTTCAAAAGTGTTAGACAAACGTACCGTAACAGTAGTGTCTAAAATTATAACTTTTTTTAATAACTCATTATTTTGTTGAATTTTTTTTTTATGTTAAAAAAATTAAAATTCTATTTATTACTACAGTACCATTTTGTAAAATCTTAAAAAGCCACAAAGTGGATAAAAAATATTCGAGGAACTAATTCTATCTTTGGATAGTGAGTTTACTTTCTTCGTTTCATTCAGCAACACAAAAAGCCAGTAAGAGAATGAAAGGACAGTGAACATGGGAGGTTGTCTTTGTTTTATTGCCCTCCTGAGAATGACTTTTTTACCTTGATAACAAACTAGAAACAACATAATGTCACAGAGATAGAATACAAATGTTAGGCCTTTATTGAGAACAGTACTACAATTACATGAACATGAGGTACCCTCAAAAAACGTTTATGGTCAAGGAAGAACCATCCTAATCCCACTAAAACAGAGAAGGGGCATAACGCTGTACAGAGTTGTGTTGAAAATTATAGTATAATCAGATTGAGAGAATTGAACAAACAGATATTAGTTATACATTATTATTTAAAAATAATATGGGTTTATTGCAATTGAGCAACTGAATAGCACCACATAATAATTGTAATCATAATAATAATAATAGTAAAAAAAACTACCATTCATATTTTATTTATTTGTATACAAATATTGGGGACAAAGAATATAGTAGAAAAAGTATAGTTCAAAGTATTTGACTAGGGATGTAACAACAGCTGCACACAAGCGTTATGAATTCCCCTTTCAAAATTTACACAACTGTCAGGCAAACAACAAAGGTCTTAGCAAAATTTTTCTCTACTTCATCATATATAAACCTTCCACATTCCTTTGTAAGTGAAAACTATCCTGAAAATAGATGTGTGCAAATTATAATATATATATATTTTTTTCATCAATATATTGGAAAGGAATGGACAAATTCCCTGATATTCTGCAGCTGAAATAAGTATTCTCTTTGTAAAATTATGTTTTTATTTTTGTCAACATGTATGTATGTTTTGTGTTTTTCATTTTGTATGTGTATGTATGTGTATTCTGTTGTGTGTGTGTAAATGTGTGTGTATGTGTGTGCGCCATGTAGCTCTGCCAGCCACCTTCCAAACCCGAGGTGTTAAAATAATACAATGCGCGCCTACCCTGAGCCTCTACGGAGGTAGCTGGCAAGCGACAGGGAAAGTTATACACAGCATCGACAATGACAATTAACACAACTTTCATCACTGGCTTATTTAGTTCAGTCTCTCTTTCTCCTTGCTATACACAGATTGCCCCGTTTTGTTTAATCTTTTAAATGCATGATATGAAAAATATATGCATCAAAGTTCGACTTTTAATGCTGCGAGGCTGATTCCCGGCCGAGCGCCAGGTAAGTTAGGTCCGGGTTGGAGACTCGTGGCACTTCGAAGGGGGGTGTAGTTTGATTGGTCCCCATCCCCGACCCAACAACATCAACCATCTCTTTAACAGCAGAGAAATGTAGAACACAGTACATATGTGTGTAAACAGCTAGTTAGATAAAGTGAGTGTGTATAACAAGCCTCTTTTTTTTTTTTTTTGGTACTGGAATTTGTAGAAGCACAGCCGTGCCAAGCAACATTTGGTTTGGAATTCAATAGAACCCAAATAGTCAAGTAAAGAACAAGATGGAAAATAACCTTTGCCCATTGTATAACGATAGAAACTCTAAAACAACATCCATGCCCTAATTTACATTAGTGAATATACTGTGATTTACAAATCAAAATTCAGAAAACTATTCTAACTTTTCATTGAACAATATTACAGATTTGTTATTGCACGACAGGTAGCCTTGCAACTATATTTCATTCCAACAATTAAAAAAATATTAAAATAAAGAAATATATAGAAAACTAGGTTCACAAATCTACCTCATTAAAAAAAGATATTGCAATTCAATTTTAATAATAAAAATAAAAAATGAATAAATATATATTTCTTTTTTTGGTATTCAAGAACAAAGAATTATTTTTAATTAGAATAAAAAGATAAAATATTATCTAAGCAAATATATTATTTGAAATAATAAAAAGAATAACTGCATTCTGTATTTATACAGAAAAACAAAAGAATCTAATATTTTTAGAGGCAGATCTGTGAATATATATATGACAAATATACATATATATATATTTTAACTGCACTAACTTATAATATCCGAAAACATTTTGGAACAGACCTCAACTACTTAATTTAGAACGGATAATTCAAGAAATTCTTTGAAACATGATTTTCATTATAAACATACAATTCAATAATAATCACTCAAAGAGAATTATTTCAAACACAGTGTAAAAAAAACTCATTTACACCGTACCATGTTTGGGCTCTTTTAGCTTTGGCAATTAACAATAAATCGATACAACTATTGTAAACAGATCACAAGCAACAAGCCCACGTCGAATAAATTCCAACGATTTGGGCAGTTCATTCAGTCATGCTTTACATACTAGTGACATTTTCTCTTCATTAGATTATTTTTATATTTAACAAATGAGTTATTTTGGATTATCCCAATATGAAAAAAAATCATATAAATTAGATCTTGACAGCATAGGAAATTTATTTATTTATCATCAAATTGTATTTATTTTGATATATTTTTAAATATTTTAAATTATTCATTCGTATAAAATATTTTGAGATTTTGGAAGATGAATTCACATTTAACAATATACATTAGGAAGATTTTGTCGATAAATTTGTTTCCAATGCTGTCAAGAACCAAACAAACAAAATGTATAGTAACCATATATAGCTTCGTTGACATGGCTGTGTTCAGATAAAAAAATTTTTGCCATACAGTGCATGCAACATTGCAGTCTTTCCCTTATCATTTTGACAATATAAACTAGAATTTATTTTAACAGATGGAAAACTGACTCTTATATTGCGAAATATCACCATTTTTCTTTGTATTTATATGTGACAAATATCTTTTCATATTAAATAAAAATTCTCTCTCTAATAGGGAAGGTACACAAACTTTATCGTTATATATATCCCAATGAATGAGAAAAATCACCCATTTCTTGTAATAAAAGCCTGAGAAATGACTCAGTTCAAGCACATCACCAAACAAGGGATATAGATACAAATTATGCCAAGTTTCAATTCCGTGAAGAATACTATGAGTTACACAGTATAATACTCCAAAATAGATTTTGCTCTTGTACCCGTATTCTTCAGGAGCCAAAACTTGGCTACAGGAAAGGCAGCAACATGTTTTAGGAACTCCAGTGAAGCACCAGAGGGAAGGCTGTGGACAGACTTTCCCAGTTTTAAATGTTTTAAGATTTGACAAAATTTACAAAGCTACTCTGTGGATAATCACCATAGCCCAGCCGTGATAACAAGCATTGATCTTGGAAAAACTAAAGTGCTGCATACAACTGTTCACACCATATATAAACACCACAAACGTGCTGTCTACAGTTATCAATTTTGTTTACAAAAAACTGAGAAAGTTGATTTGCAGCTAGCAATTGTCAGCAGTTATTGCTCTGAAGACAGCAACAACTAGTAGTGCACAGGACAGCATACTTGCATAGCCTACTACTTCTCAGAGAAAATCTAACACCAGCTGCTTCAGGAGTTGTTCCCGTCGGTCTAAAGATCTTGTGTCTACACTCCATCAACCCGTAGTTATGGTTTGATTTTGTTGTTTTGTTACACAGAAGGTTAAGAAGAATGGCAGGTACGTTGATATCTGTTGCCTATTATAAAAACTAGTAAACTACACTGTGAAATCTACTCACCAAACTTCTGGATTTTGGAGGTAAAGGAGGAAAACAGATCCAGAGAGCAAGGATGTCATGGTATTATTATTGTATATATATATATACATATATCAATAAAATATCTGGTCTAAACATTAACAGAATAGTACTATTTCAAAAATTTTTTTTAAGAAATGATAAATGATCATTTTTTAAATTTTAATAATCATGCACATCTTGTAATAAAAAGTTTTTTCTTTTTGGGTTATATACAAAGGGGACAAACAAAATTTTTAAACTAGCATTAAAGCTGCCAGTACATGAATGTATATATGTATATATATATAATGTATATATAATGTTCTAGGACTGTTTTGGGGGAGATAAAAAGCTAAAGTTAGCTTTCTGGTCTTCTACCTCCTGACCTCCATTCTATAAAGTTCACTTCTAATTATAGTAGGGAATACAAAGGACAGACACCAGCATATACAATTGTGAAAACAGCAGGTACAGACATATAGGGAGAATGTAACAGAGGAGTAGTACGTGTGCTTTGTCCTTCATCAACACTAGCTGACAAATGTCATATATGAGACCAACATGCACATCAAAAAACAAATGTCTGGGATACTGCTACTTCTCAAGACTATGTTTCTTAAGGTCTATGTGCTAAGAATGAGGTATGTTTTGAGAAGAGATCAAGGAAATGACTTCCTTGCTCTCTTCCTCTTCTGTCCCTGTCCAGAACACCCTGGACATAAAATATTTGGGAGCATAAACTACAAAATGGTTTTGCAGTTTGATTAATATCACCCACTATTAAAGAGAGACAGACCCTGAGAATCACACAGCTGGATATCGTACCATGACATTCAGAAAAATAGCAACCCAGACAGCATGTTCATTCTAGAGCCATTCCTGAGGAAATCCTAGATTTAAAATGTCCAAGCTCATTATCCTCCACTTAACCTCAATAGGCTTACTAACATGTCTTGCCAAGCGATGGCTCCACGTTTTTTTTGGAAAAATTACAGTCCAAACAAGACAGTATAGCGTGAGCAATCGATCCCTGATAGCCTTGGTACATTAACAACAGTTTTTCTCAATCTACAGACTTGTCTCCTGTTTGGAGGAGACATGTAGAATAGAGAAAAAAGAGGAACTTTGATAAAAGTTGATTCTGTGCCAGCATGAAGAGGAAAATATACTAACCATTCCTATACCAGCAAAATTGGGGACAGTGGCTGATCCTACAACTACATACCCCTGCCATTAATGTGTTATTTACACAAACTTGGACAACAGCTGGCTCCCACTAGACATAACAAAGTCACCCAAACAAATGCCTCCAGCTCTGACATCGGAGGGTACACTGTGAATCGCCTATCACAGTGCCAAAGGATAAGATTGAGCTGGAAAGCCAACATCAACAGCAAGCAACACAGGTGTTTTCTGCATAATACTCCTCAATGGCTGATCTGTGAATTAATACACTCTCTCCATCTAGTTTCTTTCAGAATCCACTTCTCCCTAGGGTTTAATAAGTGTGTTTAAATGAAAACAGTCTTATATTCTTCCAAACATGACAGAAAAGAATTGCTAAAATTTTAAGATGATATTTCATGAGGTATTTTCCATGGACTGCATGTATATCACATGCAGCACAAAACTTCACAATGAAATATTACACAATATGAATATGAAACCATTTGTGATTGACTTTGGACTGGTTGACATTCTTTTGATAAATGTACCATGTACCATTACTGAAAATGGACAATAATTCTCAAATACACAATGACACTAATTAAAATGGTACTCTGTGATTTCAAAAGGCAGTGTTGGCTATACACAGGTGCACATGAGACAAGGTAATAATAATAATAACAAATAAAAGCTGTCCTGCCATTGTAAACTCCAAGAGCTGAAGTGAATAGAGGGGAGGACTGGCCTAAGAAATGTAATAACACAAAAAAGCTTGATGAAACACGGCACTGACCAAAACTGTGAGGTAACTGAAGAAGCTATAGGTTCCCTGAGTCGCAGCATGAGGTGTCAATTGACACAAATCATTCACCTGATACCTGCCCCAATTTTAGGGTAGTTTGGTAACAGTTGTGAGGCCTTGGCTAGCACTGAAGGCATCCCATTGGCTGGATACCTCACATACTGGATCCAAACAATTCAGTTTAGGCAGGACTACAGGTGGAGTTTATCCACACCACAGGAATATAACTGGTGATATGGTTGCTCATAGGAACTGTTATATGGCAGAGTAGCAGTCTATCCCTCAACCAGTCCTAAACCGATTGGGAGTATCTGGAGTATGGCTTGACCATTCCTACTCTGTCTTGATCTCCGTCTTGATTATTGGAGACATAATAGTAGTAGCTCTGGATGTGACCAAGGATGGGGCACTAATGGTTGCCATGGTAACTGAGGTAGCTGGTTGAGCAGAGCTGGCGGATACTATGGTACCCAAGTGTGCAGCTGGTGGTACAGGTATGGTACCACTGGTTGGAGAATGTGCTGGGGTAATTGCTGCAGGCGGTGTTGTTACACCTAATGAGGTAGCCGTGGCTGCTGAGGTTGGTGAGATCCCGAGAGATGCGGCTGCCGCCGCCATAGAAATAGCAACGGCAGGAGGAGTTACGGGAGACGGCAGAGCCTGAGGAGCCGTGACAGTAGAAGGAGGATTAATCCGTTTTTCTTTTTGACGCCGATTACAAAACCATACCCGTACCACTTCCTTCTCCATAGCTAGCGATTCGGCCAGCATAGAAATCTCTTCAGATGTTGGTTTTGGATTTTGAATAAAAGCTTTTTCCAGTGCCAGGCGCACAGTGGTCTCAATACTGGTCCTCTTTTTCCTTCGTCTGCCTATGGATTCTGGAGTAGTATGCGCATTAGTGAGAGCTGTGGGATTATTTAAGGAAGCATCAGCATCTTCTAACCACCGCTGTAACAATGGCTTCAGCTTACACATATTTTTGAAACTGAGGTTCAATGCCTCAAACCTGGAGATAGTTGTTTGACTGAAGTCATTTCCATATAGTTTTCCCATAGCTAATCCTACATCACCCTGAGTAAAACCTGAAATATAAAAAATACAACTCAAGTCAGAAATATATACATATAATTTTTTAAATTTAAATTATTGTAATTGATAATAAATTACATATTTTACTAAAATTCTTCTCTAATAAACTTTATTATTAATTAAAAAAGAAACAAAATTATACAGTGTTACTAATAATTTTGTGTTATTGAAAATAATATTTCAATGAAACAGAAAACAATTTTGAACAGATCTATATTATTTTCCTTTCTGCCAGATAGATCTTCAAGTTAATGAAATATGAGATATGAATACAATATATTTCATATAATAAATAAAAGTGATGTGAGGATTAAGTGACAAAGTAGAACAAATTGATTGAAATTTACTAAATACTGAAATAGCATATAAACTTTTATGTAAACCTAAAAATCTTGAATTCAGTTTTTTTTTATATGCTGGTGACTCAATAGGCTATCTACATTCTATCAAAGCAAGTCATATGGATCCCAATTTATTGTGCAGCCTAATTTATCAAATCCAGAACAAAGTGAACAGTAGGGATGTATGAGTAGGATAGATGACATGTTGATAAACTGTGACTGCATTTTAAGAGGAGTTGTTCATACACATGGCATACAGGATTCTTCCTTTTCTTCCTTATAATGTGATTGATCATATGTGGTCAAATTTTTGGACCCCAAAGACAATATATACTTAATATAAACACACATGTGTGTTTATATTAAGTAAATTGAGCCAGTACCAGGTGAGAAGTAACTTTTAATTTCAATAACCATTTTTGAGAAAGCTATTTGACTAATCCATGCAGGGTATTTTTATTTTGGCATGCAAATTTCAAAATTTTATGATATAGAACATAATTGAAGTATTTTTGTTAAATTAAACATTTTTATAAACTGTAACAGTACAGATTAAATTATTATTATTATTTTTTTTATAAATATTAGTTATTTTTTAACAAGTAGGATAAAACTAAAATCAAAGACCTGTGTACACTTAATGTTTAAGGTTTAATTCTTTCCAAATGGGAAAGATAAAATTAAATTAAATTAAAATTAAACAGTATATTGTGTATAACTTATACTTATTTTGTACCTGTTTAGTTCTTCCTTAGTCTACTATATTGTGTTACTCTATATACCTGTATTTATTATATTCCTATAACAAAAAAATTAATGAACCACATTATGAAAAATAATGTGTTTGTTATTAAAAACATGTCCTTTTAAAAGTCCCATGCACAGACCTGCTGAAATCATTATATCCATTTGCTCAAAACTGAAATGAGTGACGTGATAAATATTTTACTAACAAGTAAGACATATATTTGCAGTTCAATATATAGCTTGTATATTTATTATTTAAATTAATAAACCAGATATTGATTTTTCTTTGTAATTTTTTGATAGATATGTGAGACCTCTCTTATACTATGATTTATTTAGTGAGCATTTAAATTTTTTGACATACATGTTTACTATTATTTGGATTAGAACAATATATAGGGAAAATATTTGATGAAATATATGATATTGGATCCTTTATATTAACTAAATTTGTATCATACAATTAGAACAACACTTAAATAAATGTTTGATTTATGATATTACCTTTATAATTAAAAATAGTTAAAACTTTAATAATTTAAATATTTATAAAATAATATTTTTTATTTTGTATATGGATAGCTTTGAAAATTGATATACTTTTAAAATCTCACCATATAATTAAAATATAATGGTTGCCTTCTGATCTATAATGTATAGGATGGATCATTTTAATTGATCCAGTTGAATAACTTGAAAAATATGCATTCTATTAAAAATATATATATATATATATCATTGAACCAAAAATATTAGTTCCACCATGTAGCTCCTTGAAGTCTATTGGCTTCATCATAAATGGTGCTAGAATTGGTGAAAACCAATTCAACTCCATTTTCTTCAACCCCATTTTTATTGCATATTCTGATTCTGTAACAAAAAATTTCTTCAAATAATAAACTTATGCAAAAGCTAGTGCTACAGCATGTTAATGTCACCAAGACTGTGATAAAGAAAAAACACTGATCTTCATTTCACCAAATAATAATCAATTCATAATGACAGTTTTTAAAAAATTTTCTTCCTTTTTCAGCAAATTTCACAGATATCCACAATTTATGCATGCACCACACGGTGACTGCATAAACTTCAAATAGTCATGTCTTCTGATAAGTGCATCTTTTGAAAACATGTTCTAGATAAAAGTTTGTTTATTTTTTTTTGTAGAATAAGAAAATGCAATAAAAAAATGGGGTTTCCATTGAAGAAAATAGAATTGGCTCCATTTTCACTAACTTCAGCAATCTATGATAAAACCAATAGTTCTATTTTGTGGCCCCTTGAAATCTAACATTTTTGGTTCAATGATTTTTTGAAGAATGCATAGTTTTGAAGTTAATCTATTGGATCAATTAAAATGGTTTATCCTGCATTTACAGTGAATCTGTGTTAATCTAAACCAATTTTGTTTATTTTTCCACTAAATAAAAATAAAAAGAAATCAAAGATTTTTTAAAAAACACAATGAATTTGTAAATTAATATGCACTACTTGTTTTAATGTAAATATATGTACTGAATACAGTGTAAAATAAAGAAAATATATAATCTCATTAATCCAAACAATAGTTACAATAATTAGTTTGGATCAGTAAGAATATACTTATATATATTATAAACAAAAATAATGGGGAAAGTTGATAAAATATTTTTTTTATATTCAGTATTTCAGTTATAAATGAGAATATTTTGTTTTTATTAATATTGCTCTAATTATTTTTCTAATACATTTGATAAATATATTTGAAATAATTACATGCAAAATAAAAATTTATTTTTGTTAAACATTCAAAATGAAACATTTTATTTCTGCAATTGTTGCTCATTTAACTATTATGCATTAATTTTAGTACTGTTTAGCATTTTAGCAAATAGTTAGAACTGATTTTACCATTGCATACAAATTTTAATACTGAAGACTCTTGCTGTAATGTAGGGATGCACAACTTGCAGACATCTAAATTTTTCAATGTAGCCTGCAGTCTTTGTTAAATATGTTTATAACATAGGCCTACCCAAATATTCATAAATGCATTAGCATTATCTTAATTTACACAAATATAATACATTTAAATATAACATAGTTTTGTATTGTTGGATCTGTGTACAAATACTTGTTTCATATCTTTATGAGTATGTTTTAGCCATAAAATTGTGGCATGTTTAAAAATAATTTAACCTAACTCACAGTTCAAAGAAAATATTGTGGCACCATCAATGTTGTGTAAAATGTTTCTATTTTTAGTGCATTTATTCTTTTAATAGTTTGTAATTAAATATAATCAAAGCTTAACTATTGCCAAATTATATTGGGCTACTCTTATTATTAATTAAATGCCAAGCAATTTGGCACTACAGGCAGGTGTTAGGTGCCATTCTAGTGCCAAATTACTTAGCATTTAATTAATAGTGGTGGTGGTGGTGGTATAGTGTTTGAGTTGAATATATAACTATCGGGTTTGGATGTTTATGTTTGTATTAAATATAATGAGTGTCTAATTAAATTATTAATTTTTTGGCTTTCTGTAATTTATTTATCATTAACTAAAACAGTTTCTTTGCATGTATTACTTTTAATGCACCCAACCACAAAAAAAATTGATCACAATTAACTTAGAACTGGATATAATATAACATATAATACAGATAACATATAATACAGATAACATATAATACAGAAACCACTAGAATCCAGTAAACTTCACTTTATTGTAATAAAAGAAATGTTTGACATTTTTGAAATGTCATCCTCAGGTTTAAATGGAACAGAATGCAAAATGGAAGACAGAATACAATTTAAAAATTAACAAACATTATCTGACTGGATGAAATAACTTGTCTTAGTTGAGGATGTTGCATTGAAGTATACAAATACATGTTGTAGTAAAAAGATACTTTGAGTAGAGATTTCCATACACTGGAAAATGTTCATTTTATTACAGTAGAGTGAATTTTGCTGAATTCTAGTAATTTCTATGTTATTTTTAATGCATTCTTTATTAATTCTGATCTTCTAATTTCTCCATGTAAAATTAAAAAAATATTGTAATTTCATTCTAAAGTATTAAATTATGAAATGTATTCAAACCATTCCTATACTATTGAATTGAAAAGTAATGCTAATTTTATGATGATATGTTAAAGCTTCAACTTTTATAATAAAGAACACAATATATTGAAAGCATTTTAAATTAAATAATTGATAATTATAACTATTATTTTCAATCTATAAAACTTTATACTACTTTATACTTTTTTCCATAACAATTATTGATTATTTCATTATATGTTTATAAAATTTTATTTTAAAGATTAAAAAGATTTTTTTTTTTGTTATTTCTCTAAATGATTATACACATGTATTTTCACAATTCTGCTTGCTTTTAATGATATACTTCTTTTAAGAATTATAACGTTAAATAAGATGTGTATATTATATGGGGTAATCCAAAGTCAATAAACATTTTTAAAAATCAATATTTCAGTGAATTTTTGATTTGTGGCAATGAGATTAGCATGGAAATGCATAAAATCATGGGGTTTTTCCAGAAAGGTGTCAAAATTAGTTCTAATTATATACACTAGGCAGTGCTTTGATCCTTATGACCACAAAGAAGTGCATCATAGCAAATGTTCAGTGTAGTGGCCTTCACTGTCAAGCATGGTCTGAAGACATGTAACATTGTTATGGACAGCATGAAAACATTTCTGAAGACACCTGTGTGATATCATTTGAGATAAACCACCACCAGGTGGACATAATTTTGACACCTTTTGGAAAAACAAACCCTTTGATTCTATGCATTTCCATGCTAATCTTGTTTCCATACATCAAAAACTTGTTGAAATATTGAATTTTTAGATGTTTACTGACTTTTGGTTCACCTTGTACAGTACATATACTGC